GTGTAAATTGCGCACACGCTGATAGGGTAACTTCCAATAGATATCGGGTGCACTTCCGGTTTCTTTAAATGCTAAAGGAAACGTGGTTTTTCATTAAATTCAGCCTTTTTCGACAAATTTCAATTAAAGCCAACGTTGGCAACATAGCTATGCATTTCTTTTTTGAAATCACGCTTTTTTCAGAAAATTTACGAATTTTTCAATATTTTGAAATGCTCTCAAAATCTGACCTTTTAGAATTAAACAAAATCGATGCATGGCATAATGAGGATTTAAATTAAAATACTAAATTAATGAAAAAAATCCTGGGAAAGTAATTTGCCTGGGAGCCGTGCATTTTTTCTGTATTAGTCACATGGCCATGGGCGTGGCCTGATGACATCATCACTAGTGTTACTGATCAGGGAAAAGTTAAAACACATGAAATAACTCTGAACTTACTAAAAATGATGAGGTTATATGAGACTAAATGTTCCCTAGCAATGGCTCAAAAAGATCGGTTAATGGGCCCTTAAGTCAATTTACACCTCCAAAACAAGAATTAGACTGAAACAACACCTATGAAGGGATAGCTTTATTGCACTCTCAATTGATTAACACAATTTCTATCAAGCAATTGTAAACATATCTCAAGCAGTGTCCCTTCTAAATATCTGGGACGCTTAAAATTTCGGACATTTTTAAAAATAATTTTCAAATTTTCGGAGACCTTTTCTGTTCGAAATTAAAACAGTCCAAAGTTTTTTCCCAATACAGTTACAGTAGTCCAGTAAATTTTATTCAAAGAGTACATTATGTATTAATTACTATTTAACATACCAATATTCTGCATACTCCCTTCATCAGACTCGTTGATCCTTTCAATAGTTTCAGTTTTTATCACTTTTATTCCTGTTGAAATGAAAGGTTAAAATTAAGAAGAATGGGAAATTTATGCAACTGCTGTCAGATTGGGCTGGCCAAACATACAGGTATAACATGTGTTGCTATCATTGAAGAATTTGTCATGCACAGTGACCTAGAGATTGAGCTTGAAATTACTGAAAATGAATTGATTTAGTGGACGTGTGGAGGAATTGAACCAGTGCCAAAAAACTCCTCGACTACACCAACTTCAATTGTTTTCTTCTTTGTTCTACAATCCTTGGGAGTGTATGTGTGTGTCACTCTGCTTGCAGTATACTGTGTATATATGTACATATCGCTGCATGTTACACTGTAAAAAAAATATCATTTACACATTGCTAGAAATAATTGACATACCTGTAGGGCAACCTACAAAAGTCAAGCCATATTTGGTCGAAGCAGCAAGTAAACTTGAGCGAGGTTTGGGTAGATTTGTTGGTGATTCAAACATTCGTATTTTTCTCATTTGCTTGAAGTTAAAATCCTAAAAATTAGGTAAAAAGTGATGTAAAATTACATGTAGTATGGGTAATCAAATGGTGATAAGTGAAATTGGGAAATAATGTCATACCTGTTTTGTCAAAATTCTAATAATTTGAATTTTGACAAAACGCAAGTGAAATTACAGATCGCCATCAACTGCACATCGACACATTTGTCCAAGTACATGTAAGCCTAAATTAAGAGTGCCTGCCTGTAAAAATCAGACAAATTCTTAATTTCGCAGCAAGGGTCGAAAATTCGATTTCGCTCATATTCTTATGGTAGATAGGCTA